ATTTAGCAAATTTTCTCATCGCTAGTGTCCATCTTTGACGAGCGCTCACAACGTACTGAGTCAATCAATCGAAAAACTGTCAAAGACAAACTTTTAGCGCGACTAAACACGTTTTCTGCGCCGCATCGTATGACAATAACGCCATCTCTTAGATAAAAAACCAAACGAACTTTTTCCTTGACCTAATATATATAATTGGTCCTTTGTATCCGCTGAAGCGATTTTCGGCCGAGCTCCGAACTCCTTCAATTTGTGGGTTTTGGGTCTTAATGTTTTTCCGACAAATGGAGGGACCTACAGTTTATACTGAGCCGCTACGAACGGTTGCTGGATTTATCATGAGCACCTTTTGATTCTAATGTTAGAAATACGTTCGGAGAGGTTGTTGACATTCTCTACCGAGGGGCGACCGAATTTAGAAAGTTTAACTAATTTTGTTTTAATTAAATTGATTTTCTATAACTTTTGAATGTTGGTCGAAGCAGACTTGAATTATTCATCGAATAATATAACCTAGCCATGGGGCTACCCCCATCTCTTGATTCGCTAAACTGTGTCGACGTCGTCGCATATCTCATAAAGCTCATCCAATCAATCGTCTGCAGTATTCGCGGTGGGTCAAAATTCTGCCAAAAAAAAAAACTTTTCTTTCGAATACTCCTAATGGTGATTGATCGGTTATCGGTATCGTATACGAGCGTCTTGCCGAGTTTAGTTTTTGTTCGTCGAGAGAGGACTTTACTTTAGGGTTGCATACTCAGAATAAAGTAGCACCAGTTTCTAAGAGTGCTTCCAGGTGCGCCTGCTTTGATTGTTTATTCGATGATAGAAGTTATTTCCTCTTGTTCTCTTTCACTAGCAGGCCTATAAGTCCGAAACCTCAGTAGGTACAGAGAGGTTTTTATCAAATCGTATCGCACTTCTGGTATTATCTAGCGATAGTTTACACAGTCGTGTACGCTTTGCAGAAATACCAAATTTAGACGCGTGATGGCTGCTTTTCATGTTGTCAAAGGCAGCTTTAAAATCTATGAAACAGTGGTGTATGTGGAGTACTTTCTCAGGGTATTATCCAATAAGTGACTCATAGTGAATATCTGGTCAATGGTGGATTTACCCCCACCATATTAGCGGTGGCCTCGGTAGCCCAGTGGTTAGCATTGTGTACTGCGGGTTCCTCCATTTGTAGGAAAAAATCTAGACTGAGGTGGAGCGAAAATCCCTTCTGCAGTTACACAGGCCCAAACTTTTACTATTATTATACTAACGATGAAAACTCTCATAGACGAATTCGCGAATAAATCGCCTAAAAACTTGAAAATGGTGCTCGCGTAAATTTGAAGTTTCATTTTTTTTGGAATATTTATATGCAATCGTGTAACTGTTTGGGTATATATGTATATATATATATATGTATGTATGTACATACGTTTGACAATGAAAACTGGTAGAAATTGTTGTTTTCGAGTGATGTGATTTTACATATGTATGTACGAGCATGTATGAACATGTGTACTACTTTCCACTACAAGACTCCAGCCTTAACATTAATTCTACAAAAACAACGCAACCTCCAACCGCCTTCAAAGCAACAAACAAAAAAAGCTCCACTTCTTGTAGTCCACAATTGGCGTTTTCATAAGTGTACTTTTAGTGAAGGCTGATTGTTACTGGCTGATTTCGTAAACGCGGTCAACACAATTCTCCTGCTCAACTAACTGAGGTGGTTGGCAACGCGATTCAGCTGTCGCTCGTGCTGTTTGTTTGTCACTTTTCCGTCCGAACGTCGCCATGGTCGCCGCCACGGGTGTCATAGCAATGCTAGTGTTGGTGGTAGTGGTGGATAATGGTGGATAATGGTGGACTGCTTGGTTTGGTCGTGCTTCAGTAAACAATACTCCATTCTATGAAGTAACGTGTCGCTCAGTTAGATTAAACCGCTTTTTTTTAGTTCGAAAAGCGGTTTGGCTTGTATGAAAAAGTGCGCTGCAGTTAGATGGAAAGTAAAAATTCATAAAGATACAACATATATTATATATGTTTATTATATACATATTTTTTGAATACAATATTTGTCAATATTAACAGCCAGAAAAATATAAATTCCTACATGCAATATATTATATATGTATACTTGAGATATGATATAATTGGCATCAAAGTGATGTTTTTCGTGCCGATTGATTTTTCAATTATCGTCCTAGATAAACTTTATTTCATGAAGAATATGAGAACAATTATCTCGGCTGTTGCGGCATACAATTATTAAAGCAAGGATAATTCTAAGCCTGGACAACGGAATTAAAGCAGCAAATGACTTTTTGTCAGTCAGAAAAAAAAGACGGAGAAGAATATGAAAGAAATATACTAAATTATTTTCAATTAACTCATGAATGTGTAGTAGTTTTCAATGATAGTAAAGTTATACCTTTCGCGCCTTTAATATTTCTGAAAGATGGAAAAACAAAATTTGAGTTTTTACAAAAAAAATATATATATATATGTTTACATATATTATATATATTATACACATTTCCATGATTAAAAAACACGTTAGTTTCACTAAAATAATATAAAAGTTTTTTTGTTTACTTTTGATCTATTTCTGTGCCACCAAATTTCCGGCTGCTCAGGGGTTTTCTTATGAAAAATTAATGATATTTTTTTACTATGGCAATATCTTGAAGTTAAAATAAAAATAAAAAAATGTAAGGCCAAAAAAGCGTTTTCTGTCAGTTTTATATTGAGTGAAATTACCATCTTTTACATTCAACATTTTAATGCTTGAAGTGTTAAATTTATGAATACTTCGTATTTGTCATGAGTAGGCATAGAATTCTAAAACGTCCAAAATTATAGAAAAATAATTTAAATAAAATGCACCTCGACAAAGATAACTAACCTATACATATGTATATCTGATAAGAAATAAAAGCTCCTCATAAAAATCCATCAGCGTAGTAAATACTGTAGGATTTTTCAGTTGTTGTAAAAGCATTAAGGCGCATGTTATACACCGCTGCAAAATAATACCAACAAAAAAAAAAAAAAAACAAATTGATGTGTTCTTTTCAATATTGTTTAGATGGATATTATTAACTTACTAAGCGAATTACGTTAAAATATTTATAACCTTCATGGACTACTCAGAGTTCAAAGAGACGAGTTTCGTTCGTTTCATCCATTGAGACCGCCATCCCCACATCGGCAACAAATTTTGATGTATCAAGTTGATATTCTTCTGGTGTTTTCATAGAATAGGCCAAAGTGTATTTTAATGTACATAAAAATTAAAAAAAAGAGGAAATCATTTCATTTATAACAATGACGTATACTCCGTGGCTGTGGTAGCCGAGTGGTTAGCATTGCGTATTGCCATTCGGAAGGTTCGGGTTCAAATCCTGGTATCGCACTAACATCCAGAAACTTATAGAAAATAATATAAAAAAAAATTAAAATCGGCACCCTTTTGCCGCGATATTTTTTCCGATATGCACGTTGAGTTAGCACAATGGAACGACTGATTTTGATGTAAGGTCACACTATTTCAGTGCGTTGTTTCGGTGTGAAGCGATCCATGGCGAAAATTGTACTGAATTTCCGTTTCCAAAAGGTATTCTTCAGCGTTTACTGGCGTAGATAGCATTTTTGCGGTTATAGTCAAGTTAACAACAGACATTTTTTCACTGTTTGACCCGAATTGAAAATACCAAGTACCCGGCCTTTAACCTGTTCTTTCATCCGGACCACATCATTTCGCCAGCGTAGCCTTGTCTTTTGTTTCGCTAAATTATGCCGATGTCGTCGAATATAACGTACACGTATAGTCAGTCCATATTTTCATCAGCTGCGATATTTGCCGTTGCCAAAATGCAGTGGACCATTCATCTTACGCAAAACCTTACTCTTTCTCTCGAAAACTCTTAACGCTGGTTCATCTCATATTGATATTGTCTATGCCTTCGCACATTTTAGCAAGACTTGTAGAGTTGGACTTTGTTCGTCGAGAGACAACTTTACTTCTCAGTTGCCGGCTCAGTACATAGTAACACCTGTTGGTTTTCGAGACTCACATTATTATTACTTTTAGGGCTGCTTCATAGTTATATGAAATCATCTACGACCTCGAAGACATGACTGCTAGTAGGGTCTTGAGTACCGAATCGCGAATGCTATGACTGTTTGTTTGATTACAGGGCTCATACGTTTCGCTTCCTTGTACAGTCTGGAGAAAGCAGAACACTTTTATTGAAAATTGGTCGATTTTTCTCTTATAAATAAGTGCTGTAAAATAAAATCCTTCGAAGGTCAAATAACAGGTCTAAAACAGAATAAATTAAATTAAATAAAAATATAAAAACTATAATTAAAGTAAGCAAAAATACAAACACTCAGAACTTTGCTTCTTACTTGCGTAATTGTATATGTTTCTTGATGCATTTTTATCTTTAATTTTTGGAACTACAGTCGATTTTCAGTGAAATTTCTTTTTATGAAAAACCAAACTCTATAATTTTTATTTTGATCCGATCTTGAAACCATAATTTATTAAGTACCATTCTTACTAATTTTATATTAATATTAATTTGTTTTTGCTTTGCTTTTCTTAGCATAAAATAAATAACATAAAACAAAAAATATAAACTGTAATTATCAAACAGTTATTCATGTAAAATGAAAACGGTAGCAAAATACAAATTATATACATACATACATCTATTTGCCTCCAACTCTTTACACAACTCCCAAGGCACATACTTACATACAATGTATGTAAACGGTCATAGCGAAAAATTCATTAGTCACTCTACAAAAATATTGATTTTGGGTGATCATGGCATTTATTGTTTCTTGTTTTTTATCTCATTCCAGGTGGGGCACAACAATGTACGTAGAAGCAGAAGCTCAACTCTAATCTGTTTGTATGTGAGATTTAAGTGATGATTTATAAATGTAAGTTTTGATATATCTATCGTTCAGTGATTCGTAGTGTATGTGGTTGTGTTGTATTAATGTGATAACTGAACAACTTACCAGTGCGATCGATTAACTAGTTTTGTGTGTGAAAAATGCAAGAAGTATGTAGTAATTTAGACCCCCAAATGGGAGCACAAATCAAATCCGAATCGCCGTTGAATGCACTGCATGTGTCCACAGGCCAGACGATATTGCCCATAGTGCCTGTGGCACCGACGGCAGTACCAGTTACCGTGTCGGTATCAGCGCCGGCGCAAATGCCTCTTGTGCCGCAACCGCCACCGCCGCCGCCGCCAGCAGGCATGCTTGTCAGGAAAATGGGACCGACTAACTGTGATAAACGAGTGAGCGCCGCTGATACCGCATATTGGATGGCCGCCTCAGAGGGGGGCTTCATCAATTCACAACCATCAATGGCGGAGTTTCTAAATCATTTGAGTCCGGAGAGTCCAAAGATGGGAACACCTGTCGGTGGTAACGGATATCCGGTTGGTGTTGGTATTGGAGTGTCACAAACGCCAGACGGCATGGATTCGGTGCCTGAATACCCTTGGATGAAGGAGAAGAAAACATCGCGGAAAAGTCAAAATAATAACAATCAAGGTAAGTGCTACGCTGCACGCGAAGTGTAAGGTAAAGATTAATTACTTGAATTATTTTCTTTGGCTGAGCGGCGTAGAATTGCTTCAGATCTAAACACACACATACATATATGCATTGTGAACATGTTCATATACACTTACACGACTATTACTGCAGCATTGGCCAGCTTAGACGCCATCAATCAAAAAATCAGTACAACTTACCCTAATAAAACAACAAATGTGTGGGATAGTTGCAACAAATGGTTGCTACCTAAAAACTCGGCGAAAATCGATGCCTCCTCGAACCGCAGCCTGTACAGAAATGAGGTTTATATTCCCATTTTGCTCCATTTATACATATAATACATACATATGTATGTTCATGAAAGAGTTAACTGACGAACAGACGGTACCTTTGAAGAACCGTGTAGCAAAATAACGAATGTTTAAAAAAAATTCCAACTGACTGACCTAAGCCAGTCCGAAAAACGGCCCCGATTCGGCCGAATGCCCTGCTCCGTTTACTCTGCGCCTTTTCGGCAAATATCTGTTATTTGCGATCATTTGTAACAATTTTCGTGTCTACACTTGAAGGTTGAAGGTATGAATGTGAACAGGGCCAATTGCGCGGCAGCGTTTGCCTGACCATCTTTGCTATGGTACAGAGTACGTGTGTAACGTGAGAACTGTTGATTTGTATGAATGAATGCATTGTATCATTATTATAATATGTGTGTATGTATATATACAAACGTACGTGTAACCTTATTAAAGTAATACTTCTATTAATGATTATATTTTATGGTATATTTTTGACGAAAACCTGTCGAAGACCAACAAAACAACTATGTATATACATATATAGGTGTGGTGTGTACCTTACCTATAAAATGCTTCGCTATACGCAAATATACATATGCCTATGTCTTAAAAGTGTTCTCGAGGAGTTCGTTACTAAAAATAATTACAAATGCATACACGCCATATGTATATATATATATATATATTTATGTATGGATATACACATATATAAACATACATATATGCAGAAATAATAATAAATTAGGTATGGTAGCTATCCATCCATCCGCTGTTTTTTCATCCGCCTTCTGCTTTATCCATCCCACCATCACTATCCGACGGCCGGCTATTCATTTACGGCCCGCTTGGTTGGTCAATGCGTTGCAGTTACCAACAGTTCTTCAATGAGCAGAAAACTTTTGTTGCTACTCGTCTGAGGCTCAGACAAGTGAGTGGCATTGCAACAGTACTCAACCTTCATTATTTGAAGGAAAAACAGAAAAGGTTACATAAACCCAAGTGAAAAAGAAAAGGCGGCCAAGAGAGTGCGATTGCAACCTGTTATTTGGATTCATTTGTCAAAATATTTGGTTGTCTCCCTGATATAACCTGAGCTTGGCAAAAGGAAGAAGTCAAATAGAGGTTGTAACAATCTACATTTTTTATTTTTAACGTAAATATGTATGTATGTATGTTGATAAATATGAGAATCTTTTACCCAGGAAATACACATATTACTTGTTCACCACATATCCTGCAGACAATTGCAAATTTTTCTGTTTTTTTCGTGCATTGAGTATGTAAAGATTCACGTAACGAACTGCAAATGAGTAAGGCAGAGCCAAAATCGATTAGGTTTATAGCAAATACGGGAGAAAGTGAACATTTATTTTTATTTTTATTTATTTATTCGGCATAAGTTCCTGTAAAAAGAGTTTCCTTTCATACTTGCTCTTCTTCGCTGCTTAAGCAATTGTAGCCGAATAGACAATAGCGCGCTTCCCTTCGTTGCTGCTGTTCGCAGTTGGAAATGCCAAGTGAGGCCAGGCCTCCACCTGATCCTTCCAACGGAGTATATTTATTCCTCTGCTTCCACCCACAGGTACTGCATCGAATACCTTCAAATCTGGAGCGCTTTTATTCATTCGGACGAAATGATCTAGCCATCCACTCCCATCTGCTCATTCGCTGAACAATATTAATGTCACCATATAATTCGTACAATTCGTCGCCGAAGTGCAAAACACCATAAATCGTTCGAAAAACTTTTCTCTCTAAGACTCTCAAAGCCACCTCATCGGATATCAACATCGTCCAGCCTTCTGCACTATATAGCAGGACGGGAAAGATGAGTGACTTATAGAACTAGGTTTTGGTCCTCGTGAGAGTACTTTACTTCTCAATAGCCTACTCAGTCTAAAGTAGCTCCTGCTGACATGAGACACAATGAGTTGGATCCCAATCCTGACATTGTTATTGGTGTAAACAATGGTCCCTTGATAGACGACTTTGAAGTTATGACTGTTAACAGTGAGGGAGGAGCCTAAGTGCGCCATCTATATGTTGATCTCGTTCTTGTTCAGCAGATGCTAATGCTTGAGTAAAAAAAATACTTTAATGAGGATTCTGTTGATATTAAATTAAATCTTATTGGGTTAATAAAAGAAAATAAATTAATTAAAAGACCTATTCAAGCTCCTAATCAAAAATTAGAGCCAATTGTAATTATTTTTTCTTTTTTTAAAATAAAATAAAATATAAATTTAGCAGAATTATTAAAAATTTAAAAGAAAATGATTAGAACATTTATAAATAGTGTATGAACCCAGTACCTTAATTAGCTATCATTTTATCGAATTTCATTTTGTTATAAAAACAAAGAAAAATATTTATAAAATATATATTTTCGTGTAAGATGCACATAAGTTTTTGATACTTTATATAAATAGTTAATTCTTTTCAATATATATTAAGCCATAGAATTAACAATTTTGTTTTGTTCGGACTAAGACTCGAGCCCTGCCCTTCCGGATGATAATAGGGACTGCTGACCATTCAGCTTTTGCGGCCGCTATAACTACCTTTATTAATTTATAAAAATAATTGCAATCAGACATGATTGACTTATGTAAAGTTTGCCCGAATTCGAAAGCATGGCACCTCCCCAAAATGTTCATCTTTTACATCTCTTACAATATTTGTGGAAAAAAATTTGAAATCTGTACATATATAGTGATTCCATACGTATGCGAAAAATTGGCGGTATATAAAGAAAATATAATGTAAGTAAGTCCACCAAATTTATGTGGCAGATTTGTATTGTTTTGGTGAAGTATATTTGGATTCGGTGGAATGGTTAGTGAGACCAGTTTATGTCTTTGAAAACAAATGCATTAAAAATTAAAAATTTTGGTCGAAAATTGTTGGTATGATGTAGAGTTTTTTATTTTTTATTCAACGCGTACCTTAAGTCAATATGGTTTATTTTCTTTTAACCCTGATATTGTAGGATTAATGCAGTTAAATATATTATGTCTTTTATTTAACACTAAACCTACACAGGCTTCATATTTAAATACTCGTTTTAAAAATGTTATATATGTGACTAATCAATTGGCTTAATTTAGTAAATGAGTAAATATTTTATTTTTTTTTTTAACGACAAATTAAAATTTAGAAAATAAATAAATAATATACTAACATAATTCGTATTCGAAGCAAATTTTGCAAATTATTGGGTTCTGAATGGTAAATTTTCCACAAACATATTTCTTGCATTTGAGCCTGAATTTGTTGATATTTTCTTTTGTGTATCCTTCTAGTTTGGCAGCCCACATGCCTCTCTAAAAATATTATAAATTGGAGCACTATCAGTTGTCGGCATAAATTTAAATAATTCGATTTCCCATATATATTTCACTTTTTGAACACGATAACGATTTCTCTTTTCTTTCTGTTCTCTCCGTAAATTTAGCTGAGAACTCAGATTTGTCCGTAGTATCAAATGAATGATTATGTTGTTCTATGTGTTATCCACTTCACTTCCGATAGTTCCTCTTTACTAAATTCTGTAAACTCTCTACCTATGTTATTGATAATTTCTAAATGTTTGAAATTGTTTTTTTTTTTTTGATAAAAATTAGTAATGATAGGATGAAATAAGTATTCTTCATTCCCAAAATATTTATATACACATGTACATACATATATAACTTGAATACTTTACTGCAATACTCGCTTGGGGCAGATTGAAATTCGCTATTTATCCGTCAAGCAATAACAATTTAACACAATTCAGCAAAATAGGTATGTACATATTTACATAGATATACAAATCAAAACAGAATCTTTGCATGGGTCAAATGACCCTTGTGGCAGTTAGAGCAAATTTCAAATGTTTCTCAGTAAAAAAGTAGTAAGTGAGGAATTAAATTTGATGAACTTTTGAGTAAAAGTCGTAAAGGTAAATGGCAACGGGATAAAAATTGATCATTCGACCAGTCTTTAGCAGGTTTAGTGTTATGCTTTTTTTGTTCGTTCCTACAATTCATTGGTTTTTGGTGGATTAAAAATTCCTACTTCATTGTGACATAAGACTAATGTTTTAGTAATTTTATATAAAATAGAGATAGACACATATCTTACATATAATAATATGTATCAATATGGATTTATAAATATATACATTGTAAACTAGCGGACCTGGCCACAAGCCGTTGTGGCTTTCTATATTTTAAAGAATTTTTATTCGTATTGATATTGCAAAGACTGACAAAAACGCCTCAATAAGTTGTTTTAATATATTCCTCGCTACTCAAAACCCGTCACATAAATTTCAATCGGATCTATGCTTGAACGTATAAGAATAGCTTGTAACCCGTAGCCGCCAGAATAATAACATTGCGCAGCGAACGTACTTACACACGCTCTATGCTTGGCATAAACAAATTTTGACCAAAACGTGGGGAACAATTTTTGGTTTGAAAAAAATTCGGGTTGGCGATAAAAGGTGTAAATCTAGGGCTATATACATTTTGTAATGTCAAATCGTAAAAAAAATTAAAAAAAAAATTTGGAAACAAATATATATATATAAAAAAAAAATTTGGGTTGACTACTTACAACTTAGGAGCATGAAAGATGGATGTTCTTTTATTCTCAGACCTACTGAATATGCACATAAAATTTCACTAAAATCGGTCAAGCCAGTTCGGAGTA